ATATTAAAACAAAATTAAAAAAACGAAAAAGGGGGTTCAGATAAATTTCATTAAGACCTAACGGTAAACTGAACTGAGATGGGGGGAGGGGTGGTAGATAGATAAATTACACTAAACCCCACCTATCATCGTTTGTAAAAAAAAAAAAAAAAACAATTCCATGAAAACGTATCAAATGTATCATCCAATTTAACTAAAATCTGGTGTTGTTTTTTAAAGTGGTCATCATTTGACCTCTACCTCTCTCCCACCCCTTCCTTCATGATAGAAATAAGAAGGATAAAAAGTGTCGATAGGTTTAGTGTTATAATGCAAAAAAGGAAAAAATAAAATAGTACAAGGGAACGAAAAAAAAATGCAGCTACCGAATAAGGGGGTTGGAAACATCATATAATAGTTCTCTCGTAAAGGAATCTATCTCCCACCCCAAATTACCCAACCCCATCTCACCCCAACCTATCCAATCCCCATTCCCCATTCCCCATTCCATCGTTTCTTATTCTTTGGTTAGGAATAAGATGAAATAAACAGAGAAAACGTTGGTTGTTCGGCCTCGACCCGAGCAAAGTCGACATCCGTCGAGGTTGTCGAGCTACCCCCACCCCCATCCCCATCCCCCCTTCCATGTTCCCCGTTCCATATTCCCCGTTCCCCTCGAACCGTATGGTCTTCCTACTACCTAAGTTCTATTCGTAATGTTTCGTAGAAGTTTGGTGGGGGATTCGAGTGCATTCGGTTTAGTTCGAGAATGAACGGACAAATCCGAAGACTTACGGAAACAACCGAACGAGTTAAAGTAGAAACCGGAGGAACGAGGAACGAAACGGCTCCCCTCAGTTCCATCACGGCGAGCCGGGACGATAAGTCGTCGTTGCATTTTCGTCTCTGAAACTTTTTTTTTTCCATCCTTCCCGATATAATTATTCTTCGATCCACGCGCACATCATTCTACCGTTTGTTTGTTTGTTTGTTTGTTTGGTTTCTTTTTTTTTGGTTGATCTGGTATTAATATTTTTTTTTTTATATATATAATATATTATTAATTAATTTTTTCGCGATTTTTAATATCGAATTT